GCGCTGACTCTGAGCTTCAAATTTGGCAGGGCACGAGTTCGATTTCTGGTATTTGCAGTCTCAAAAATAATTATTTACAAATAATTAAATACAAGAATTATATCCGAGACCACTGATGATGGGTATTTGGCAAGACTCGAAACAGCTGTATGGTCAGTCAAAAATTCAATTAATTAAAATAATATAAAATGAATTTTTGTTGTTTTAGTTCACTACTTTTTGAAGACCTCTTTATTTAATAAAAATAAAATTATTATTTGTTGATTTGATACCTTTAATTTATCGTTAGATTACAAATAATCCGTTCGCGTAGTCATGATTTTAGAGAAACTTTTTGAAAACTTATGGCATGATCAGACTCTTCAGGAAACCCATGTACTTACTATTTTTTACATTCACTTACGCATACAATGTCTTTCTCATAATATTTTCATTTAAAATACGCTTAAAAGTTCCGTTGTGGTTCTATAATCTGCTTATTGTCCACTTGGTAGTCCTTTGTTATAAGCAAACATTTGCTCTTTTTGTACGAGTATAGCGCAACCTTAATGGTTGGTGAAATTAAATAAATAAACATTTTGGAATAACGTAACAACTCTTTCATCAGTGGCTTGGGTGAGGATTTTTGTTATAAAAAGTTCGATTCAATTATGCGTAAAACCGTATTTAACAGTGGTTGAATTGCAGTTCCAGTTTTCTGCTCTCCAACATAGTCGGAGTCACCAGCTGTTGTCATGTGTAAGTAAAAATGTGAATGACGATGATTATGTCCTTTCGGTTTGGCATTTAGCTTTAACTGTTGGTGCCGCTTGCTTGTTACTGCACTACAGTTGCTATCCAATTGTCCATAGTACCTACACCCTATCGTTTCGTATCGTTGCATTGAAGTGCTCGCATGAGATTAAATAACGTGACGCATTTTAAGCAATGCAAAATGTGTGCTATATTCTTGACACCCTGCAGGCATTGCTCCATCGAATAAATAGTATTTTTTACCCTTTTTTGTTGACGTTTATCGTCAACGTGTACCAAACATCATGCCAATGTCAATCGAATGCTAATATTTGCGTAGACAATGGAGCAGCAGCAACGAGGACCATACTGTCAGGAACGAGGACTACAGCTTGTTGTTGCTTTATTGGCAGTAAAGTCGTAAGCTGAGAGTGTCTTTATTTGAATTTAAAATTGTTGTAGTAAAGTGTTGTGCTTGCAGTTTTATTTATTTTGCTCTTTTCGATTTTAGTAGCAAGGCTTCACCGATTTTTACTTTTTCAATTGGTTGGTCCTTTAGTATATTTTTGTGCGATTAATTTAAGTGCAAAGCACCTTTCAATACGAATTAACGTGATTCTATGAAAATTTCAATACACAAATAAATATACAGGAAATATATAGCAAATTTGAATAATAGTTCTTCTTGCATTATTCCGGGAAGTAAAATTTTAATATTTAGTTTATCGAAAATACAGATGATATTAAAAAATAAAAAAATTTACAGGAAAAGATATATGGTAGAACAGTAAAAAGTGTTGCCAATGAATTAAAATTTGTAAATGAGAGTAAAAAAATTGTTTAGCATTATATCTACATAATACCGCCTCGGTTTTCATAATGTAAACACTTAATAATAATTAATTAATTAATAGCAATTGAAGTCTGCTAATTGTGCAGTGTAAAGATAAGACTGATTAATATCAAATATTTGTGGTACTACTGTATTACCACTTTACTATTAATTGAAACACTTTTAATTAAATGTTGTAAATGTTTTTTAATTTTGCGAGCATTTATATTTGTATACGTAATTATTTTCTCATGCTTCAGAGAAGACGCGCTAAATGCTACTGGACGCTATACCATAAAATTAGTAACTGTTTGTACCAGATGGCGTTGCGCTGGTTAATGTGTTCGTCACATATTCTTAAAGTTATTCCAAAACACACCAACTGAAGCAAATAAATCAGTTAAGAGCAACATATTTTATGACATTATTTTCTCTCCTTTTACTTCTATATTATTTTAATTTTTGACTCCTGACTTCAATATAATATTTGTGATTCTTTTCCAAACAGGACAATGCTTCCAAATAAGCAGAAGGCATTAATATTGCAAAAGTGTGTTTCTCACGTGTAAATATGTCACTTGTCATCAATTTCGACGAGGGTACAACAGCAGTAAACAGGACCTGTTCATATAAACTTTATAAACTTGCAAAAAAAGGATAACAAAATAACAACATAGAAATACAAGTCAATTGTTGGTCATGTTACAAGCTACAATAACAAAAACCAAATAAAATAACATAAAAATCGAATCAACAGCTATACGATTAAACAACAACAATAACATATGCAGCTTTGTATGTATTATGTACGATAAATCTAAGGAACAACAAACCATGTCAGTAATAAATTTTATATGCAACAAACAATCTAATTTAAAAATCATTAAAAGTTATTTCATTAGAGTAACAAATTCTAGCAGCACAGGAGAGATGTCAACCGTTCTGTTACAGGCAATAAGTCAATGGACACTGGAGAATTGAAAATAGTGCGCTCTTATGTCAATGGATTATTAATTCGTATTCAATAAATAAAAAGATCTCTTAATCGTAACCGACGATAACAGTATAGGTGGTGTCTTCTCCACATTCAAATTGGATACGCTTTGAGAATTGTAAGCATTTATATTACCTGGAAAGTAAACTAGTTCAATTTCATCAAGATCTTAATCCATCAAATAAAATGTATAGGATTATATATAAAAATAAAACATAGAATTTAATAGTTCTTCATCGGTAATACATTTGTACTTAAATGGTTATAAAATTTAAACCACCATACATCAATATAAAATCCCCACAAAAATGTATGATAACTGTTCAATAATTATGAGTGTGAACGTAGTAATATATAAATGATCATTACCGACTTCCAGATAAATTTTAATTAATGTAGAAGTATCAAATGAATTCAAATCTCTATGTAAATTTCTAGAAAGTACTTCATCATTCCTAAGACGTTCCATAATTTTCTAAATTGTAGAACATTTTAACATATTATAAGTGTAATCGCGAGAGTGTTGAACATAAGGAAAAGAGATGCAAGAGAGTACATTTATTCCCAGCATTTATATCGAATTAAACTCTCATTAATGTTCGTGTTTATATAATTTAATTTTTTACTCTCACCATTTATGGAAGTTGAGCACTATTCCAGTAAGTCAGCATACGTCTCACTTACTATCTATTAAGTACACTGCAACAATAGTTATAGATTAACACTTAGGATTGTACTATTTATATCCAATAAAAGATGTTTAAAAAAAAAAGAAAATTTCAGCTTAGAAATGTTTAGATATCTATCAGTTTAAGATGCATTGATTCTTTATTCAAGTATTCGAAATATTTTTTTTTTCAAACAAAACAGTTTTTAATCTCATAATAATGCAATAGATTTTTATATATTTTGCTAAAATATTCTTAAAATGGAAAATCTGATTTCGCCGAAAAATGATCCGTCTAGTGATGTTGATCCTATTAGTGATGCAAAATTAGAAGTATCGGAACAAAAATTAGAAGATACAATTGATAATCTGCCATTAAGTGATGTAGAAACATTTACAAAAATTGAAGACATTGGCAACGCGAGTGGAGTAAGTGCTTGCATTGCTGGCAATGAAACCACATTTGAAGAAAATGATTCTATTGCTAATAGAGAAGTCTTACTTCTTGATAATTATAATGAAGCAAGGACTGATGTGGTATTCGTAAAAGAATGTACTCCTATCGAAAATAGCAAAATTATTGAAATCGAATTATTGAATTTGCCGAAGGAAACTCAATATAACCGTAACAAAGGTGCTATACCAAAAACCACAATAAGTATGTACAAAAAAAATAAGAAGGCAAAGAAATCCGAAAAGGAGTTTCGTACACTGTTCGATAAAAGTCGTGATCACTCCAGCAAAGATTCTAGTTCTGATGAAGCCATTACAATAGTAGCAACCGGAAAAGCCAAACCTGATAACAGTTTTGAAATTGAAGGTGTAAAGCTTAATCCGAACAAAGGGAATAATGAAGTAGAAGTACTCGAAACCGCAACATCTTATTTGATGGATTCAGATCTTGATGAAACTGAACTGGTTTACTTTCCAGGTAATTTAAATGCTTACGATTCTCAAAACGTATCCAATTTGGATGTGGAGAAGGTACCACCTACATTGTCATCGTCGGTTACGATTAAGAGTTCTTATGCAGATGTTTCTGATAGCAGTAGCACAGATGATGAATCATATACCTTGCTAAGTATATTATTTCGAAATCGTTTGAAAACTATAGAAAAGCAATTTGAAAGTATAGACGAATATATCGGTAGCGCAGATATTTTAGAAACAACCCGAAAAAGTGACTTAGAGTTTATTTTTAAAAAGATGAAGTTTGACATACAGTCCTTGGAAAATTATTTGTTTAATCCGAATTTACATATAACAAAACCAAAAATTAAAACTCTTCAAATTCAGCTCCGTAAAATTTTAGCATTGAATATAGGACTCCGTGGTAAAGTGTACGTGAAACGTAATACAATTACCTACGCCCTAAAGCAGCTTGATATTGCAGCAAAACAACCCAAAACCCCCTCTGAAGACAATAATTGGACTATGACAAATATGAAAAATATACATATTTTTTTTCGAAGGGAAGAAGTTTGTGATAAAGACATCAGTTTCTGCAAAATGAAAACAACTCTTATTGAAATTCATGGCAATCCAAATTCACTATATCTCAAAAATTTTTCTGATTCCATGATTATATGCGGACCAGTCACTGGAACAATATTTTTGGAGGATTGTATAGAATCAATTCTTGTAGTTGCATGTAAACAGATACGCGTAAAGGATTCAGAGGTCTGCTATTTATATTCGCATGTGTCAAATTATATAGCACTAGAAAATTCAAGACGAATTATGATTGGAGTGTATGAAAACGACTACCCGCGCATTGATGTGGACATTAGTAATGCTTCTCTAAATATGGAATCAAATAACAATACCAATGTCGACGACTTCGGTTGGAATACTGAAACTTTTGGGCAATCTACGAATTGGAGTATGTTGGAATACAATGAGGCGCCGACCATAAAGGAAATGAAAATGAAAATATTAAATAATATTAAACTTAAAATAAAGGATCTTGAAGATCAATTTTGATGTTATACTGAAATTGAATTTAAAATTTTTGTAAAGGAATTTAACGATTGAAAAATATATTTTTGTTTCGAAATTCAATTGATCAATAAATTATTATTTCACTATCAGAATTAAAATTATGATTTAAACAACGATGGCTATCCTGCCCTTGCAGTACTATAACATAGATTTAAAGTCTTTTGTATTGATACTGCATGTTTGCGAAGGTTTACTCTCAGGAAGATCAAACTGCTTCATTTTCTAATCAAAACGTCTTGATATTTTTTAAAACCGGGTTTAATCTGTAGAGTATGTGATCAGTTGGGCTTATTATTTGAACACTATGTTTGCTTTAGTGGGACATATTATAAAACATATTGCTAATATTTTGTACCAGTCCGCTTTAAATCTCAGTTTTACTAAATATTAGAAAAAGTTTTTTTAAAAACTTTTATAGATATCTATAATAATCTTTGAACCAAAGAGCATATAAAAGTATGATATGTACTTTTACTCTATACTTGCAGTATATATCTGAAAGTATATTAAGCAGTTCTGATGAACTTCTGGGAATACGACCAGCATCTGATTGTGAAGTGTACAGCTTAATTATGGGTTTGACAGCTAGTATTTGAAAAGCGGGAGCTAACAGATTGTAAAGAAACTCAATTTGAATTTTCGATCCGTGTTTTTAATAAAATAGAAAATCAATTCGCTTTCTGAAGGGTACGATAGATTTACTTGTAATTGCTGTGAGCAAAGCTTATACTTTTATATGTATTTTATTTTTCAATCAAGTTTGCCATAAAATAATTTTTATATAAAATTATGTGTAGTTAAATTTATAAAAAAAATTTATTTTAGATTTTTATTCACTTTTCTTGAGCATTTAAATTGTGTGGAAAATTAATCAAATACTTAACGATGGATTGTGACAGCAAAGAAATTTTTGGTTCTGGAACTAATGATGACGAACCCAAATATGATTCTGATGTGTCTAATGGCTCTAGCTGTGCTTTGGATGAATGCGCTGCTGATATATTAAGTGGTGATACTCCAGTAAATCTTTTGACAGAACTATTTCAAGGATGTACCCCTACCGAATATTATCTATATATAAGATTTTCGGAATATCTTCACGTTATTGAAAATATTTTGAAGGAATTGTTGAGGCAAATCTCAGTGCAAAATGATGATGAGGAGGCAAATAAAAACCTAAGTGAAATATTTGCAAAACTAAGTTCTGATGTTGAAAAGTTCCGTACTGAATATGAGCCATCTTTAATATTACTAAATGAAACACATGCCGTGTTAATACAGCAAGGGTTTAATAAAATTAAAGATATCTATGCTGATATACGAACCACATTGTATGATAGAACCAATTTAAGCTTACTTTCAGCGGATGAGGATATGAATGATGAAGAAGTTGAAGACATCAAACACTGGACAACAGTTGAACGCATCAGAGAGCATATTGTTATGAGTCGTGCTGAGGTCAATGGTAAAAGGATTGAATTAGCAAATATAAAATCTTCCATAATTGAAATTCAGGGTAATCCCTTATCTCTTTATATGGAAAATATTAGAGATTGTCTGATCTATTGCGGTCCGTGTACAAATACTATCAATGTAAGAAAATCTTATGATACCACCATGGCATTGGCTTGTAAGCAATTACAGCTTATGGAGGTCCGAAATTGTCAGATATATGCTCATGTCACCAACAATATTACACTTGAGCATTGCTTCGAAATTACTATAGGGGGATATAGTTACTACTATCCTCAATATGAGGTTGATGTGGAAGCGTCTAAGCTTGATTTTGATTGTAACAATAACACAGAAGTAGCTGATTTTTCTTGGTTAATTAAATGCGTTCGTTCCCCAAATTGGTCATTTATGGCTAATATGGATTCACTTTGCTGGCAAGAACTCAGAGCAAAAACCATTGGTTTCGTTGCTAAGGAACATATTCTAGAAGATTACTGAAGATTATTAAAAGAATTTTTTATTTATTGTTCTTTGTTATTGTATTTTTTATTTTTTGCTACTTTATTTTTTTTCTGTAATTACCTTAGGGATGAAATTTATTTTTGAAAACTTACGAACTCTGATTAAATGAAGCCCAGTAATTTGTTCAATATTTCAAGAAATAAAAGTAATTGAGCTTAGAGTAATCGTTTTCAGGAAGAGCGCTTGAATATACATGGTATGCTGTTTCTCTTTCTTTTTCACAGTATCTGCAATCTGAATTTGATTGAATTCCCACTTTCGTTAGGTGATTATTTAATCTACAGAGACCGGTCAATAATCTCGTTATAGTTCTAAGGTTATTTTTTAATTGTTTTATGAACAATGTTTTTCGCTAAAAGCATTTTAGATTATGATAGTCCTGGTAGCCTTTTCTAATAGAGTTCTCTTTATTTTTCCTTAGCGCCTTTCATAAGAATGGATAGAGTTCCTTTGCCAAGACCACAGAAAGGTTCTGGGTCTATCATTATTCAAACCGCGCCTCTTCTTGCAAGTTTGTCTGCCATTGCATTGCCTTGGATGCCAACATGCCCCGAAATTAATATTAAGTGCACCTGATTGTTCCAGTTGAGTATGTTCAACTTGTCAATGCACTTCCATACTAGTTTGGATGTTACTTGGTATGATATGAGTGCCATTATAGCTGCACGGCTGTCAGTCGGTATTGCAATTTTACGCAATTTTTTAATGCGATAACAAAAAATATTTTTTGTTTTTCTTATAACGTTATAAATGAATATATTACAATTATAAAAAAAAGACCAATGCTGTTAATTATACACATAAATTTTTATTAATTTTTTTTTAATTTAATGTAGGTTACTGTCCTTAACAGCATTATTTTTAGAAACAGATATATAGATATTGATCAATAATGAGCCAAAGTATTTACTCTAAATATCAAATACTACAGTGAATAAACAAATTCTGAATAAACATTGTTTTCCTTCATATACTCATATAAGGAGAACAATAGAGTTGCTTGCAATTATTTGCAATGGAGGCGTTCATGCAACAAAATTTGCTCCGCAGTGCTTAACGTTGTTTACCGAATGGACTTGACACATATTGCAAGTGCACATAACCATGAAAATCCGGTGGTTTTCCCACTGGCATATAGAATCCAGCTACTGACTATGATTGTTTAAGTAAATATTTCTGTTCGACTAACAACCAGCAATGAAGGCTGCGGTTGCATTCGCAGCTCTTGTTATTGGCAATGAATTCAAATTGTGCACATTTTTCATATCCTTTTTCGGTGATGTCCTTATGCAGCATGCACATATATCAGCGTTTGGAGCGTTCGGGCATTCAAGCAATCACACCGAACAAAAATTTGTATTTTTTGTGTGAAATGCAAAATTGCTCTGCTGTTGTGTGATGTGTGATGTGTATTGTGTGTTGTATGTTGTGTGTTGTATTGCGAAATTGGGAGTGGCACTGCGATATTTGTGAAATTGTGTACGTGCTTGTTGTTGTAGGTTGCTTACACCTGCAATGTTTGCGCTTACAATTTGCGAATCGAATTGATTCTTATTTTAATAAAAATTTTAAAATTTATTTCATTTCTGTGTCATGTGGGATATTAGAGAATTTTGTTATTACACTTCTGCAGGCAGAAGTAAGAGTGTGTGCATACCGGATGATTGCTTGTGTAACCGTAAATTTATATGTTTGCATTCATAATTTTTTAAGGACCTTTTCCTTTTTGTTTTCCTACTGGCAATGCAAACATATTGCCTTACATAGCGGGGGGTGTTTGTGTTATTTACGATATTTGGCAGCGTTCGAATACGTCAAACAGAAAAGCAAACAGGGCCATGTTTCAAATACGTTTTTGGCTATAAATTATTTATTGGCTTTTAATGAGTTCGTTTGCTGCAATGTTTGACTGGGAACTGTGTTCGCGTTAGTATAAATATTTGCTTTTCATATGGCAGGGAACATTTTGTAGGTATTGAACATTTCATTATATGTACTCCAATTGAAAATCTGGATCAACTGCCAACCGCTCTAAAGGAAGATGCACCACATCATATACTTTAAATAATTAATAATCATAATTCGAAACATTATAACAAAAAACTTAACTAAACACTAAAGTAAATGATTAATTAGAGTTGTATAGAGATATAGTAGAAACTGTTAGAAAATTACAGATTTTCAGACTTTTAATTAAATTAAAAAAAAAATAATATATTTAGTTATGCTAATTTTACGAAAATTTATTTCACAGTTGGAATTTCATATGACTTTATGATAAAGTTTGGAACCACACACAACTACAAACTATAATATAGTATTTAACTTGGATAGGAAATCCGAAAAAACTTCAACAACTATGTTCATTTTGAGATATCTTCGCTTGGTAGCAAAGAAATGGATGTTAGGTCAGGTTGAGAGGGCGAGAGTTCGCCTAAATATCAAACTGCCTCTAGGAATATATTGGCATGACTTCAAAGTTAAAAAAACATATTCTTGTTCGTGTTCTCTTCTTAGCTAGTGAATTGTCTTGATATAAACATAGAAGGTTATTCATTGATTCCAACTTTTTTTCATCATGACAACTTTTGTCCGTCGGAATACAGTACCGTTGAAAAAATGTAGAAGCTGTACTTCGTTTTTGCTTAAAGCCGAAAGCGAATCAAACAGATAAATGTGTATGAAGTGTTATTTTTACAAAACGTGTGTTATAATAGAGGTATGTAATCATCAAACACTGAAATCCACGGGTTTATTTTCGAAACCCCATACGAAATATAACACTAATTTGTATTGTTAGTGTGAGTTGTAAAAGCTAGATGATTTATTCAGATGTACGAATTAAGTGTATAACATCTAATTTAAAGTAAATATACAACAAATATATAAAAATATGAATGTATCAATTAATTAATTATTAAATAACGTCTCCATCTTGGTCTATATCATTATGTTGATTGTGTGTGACTCCACATTTATTAATGGTGTAATAAGTTCTATAATAAATGAGAAATACCCAAAGTTGAAAACTATTAAAATCGTCCGGTTCAGCTATGTGTAACTTATCAAAGTCCTTGATTGTACTGAGAAGTAGTCATTATAAACCAAAAAAAATTTTTATTTCTATGAAAAAATGTTCCTTCTGTGAGGGAAAGCTGCTCATCAGAGAGAAAATGCATTATTGTTAACTGATTGAAGTAGCGACTAGTCTCTCTGCATAGGCTTTTACATATTATACACCTGAAAGAACTGGAATTATTCTATCGGTATTGTTACAGTCTCAATTATAAACTTCTTGTTACCTGATTTTTTTATACAAAGACTAGATCAAGTGGGTTGTTATAAATGTTGTAAGTAAACTTAACTTATTATTAGATAGCTGACGATATTGAAAGTAGATTCCTTTATTTACGGTTTATGTAGGAACATAAACTAATACACACGGTGAGGCATATATTGAAGCATCTGAGAGATCCAATCTGTCTACTGTTTTATTCTATTCAATCTTCTTATGATTGGTATCTCAGTTAATGTCAGTGAGACGTATTAGTTCACCGACTTTCGCTCTTTGTTATCTGCTTTGATTCTAAACCATAAAGATCTACTCGGCTGTCAATTAAAATTAGAACTTTACATTTATAGTTGATGTGGTTTGGAATAAACTGACTAGCCCCACTAATCGGTAATACTACTCACAGAAAAATGTGGCTTCATTTACAAACCGTGAACACTCATAATGCTCTGCGTATTTTCAGTTATAGTAACAAAATGAGCAACATAACCTTTCCGTTCGATTTAAATTACATAAATGACTTATTATGATTAGATATATCTTATTAGATATATTTTATTAGATATATATTATTAGATATATCTTATTATTATTTTTAAAGTGGGAGTATATTTTTACATAATATTATCTGTGTGTCTTTATATCAAGTAATATCTACGACCACTTATTTGGTCGTGGAATATATGAGAGAAACCGTGGTTCTTCCGTTTTAATAACCTTTAACTCGTATTTAAGTAATATAACGACATCTAGATATTATTTTTAATGTAATTTTTTTAACTTTATATATTTTTTCGGAAGAAAAATGGTTTAAACTCGTGGCAGAGGCTGCATGCTTCAGTTTAAAAGATTCATATACACATAAAGATTTCTGAAGTACTCGTCGTATCTGAAATCTAAGCTTCATCTGCAGCTTAGAACATTAGAAAACAATTTTTTAATTAACAAATTTATTGAACTTAAGCAAAACTTTTTTCCATTATCTTAATTACTGATTTATTTTGATTCCATAATGAATGTAAATACACTGTTTACAAGATTTGTAAACAATTTTTGCAAGTACAAGATACAGGTTAGCTTCTTTGATTGGTTTAATTGCATTTGTGCATATCATATTTTTGATGCACTTGAACATCTTCACTAATTTGTGTTTAATTAAACAATTTCCAGATACTCCACTGCATGTGTGCGTGTGTGTGTGTGTGCGTGTGTGGCTGTCCTGAAGTATTTGAACTATAAATTGTTATGTAAACATGCAGATGACATTTTCAGAGAAGATGTCAAATAAATTTTGTAGATACTTTCTGGTAAATAACAAATATAATTCATTAAATGAAAATATTTTAATTGGTTTTTTGTTTGCATGTATGCAAGAGTAGTAAGCAAATAATTTGCTAAAATATTTGATAAGATATCCTACGTACGAGTATAGAAGTTAAAATAAATTTTATAATTCATATTGTATTTTGTAGGTTGTATTTTGTAGTAGTAATTATGATGAGATAAATTTTCATTGAATTTTTGTTAAGATTGATGGCAAATTTATGACCATCGTACGATAATTACTGAACAATAAACTGTTTGTGTATTTACTTTGATGTATTAATTAAGGATTAAATGTACAAAATTAGGATTGAATTGATTAAGTATTATTATTAGCAAAGTGATTTGGGTTCAATTTAAA